CGACAAAACGAAACAACCACGATATATAAAGCTATCAAGTATGTCTGCTTCTCAGAGACCCAGTCTAACAGCACGCTGTGTTGGGAGAGGAAAGTAATCTTTTGTCTTCAAAAGTAGGTTCTGCAATTAACTGAGACATTTGAAGGGCAGGTTCCTGGGGGTTAAAAGAGGATGTGCTTAGATTGTCCATCTTCTCCTAGACCTGAGATTCTATGAGTCTGTTTCTGGGGCTTAAATATAACAGAGGTTGAATGTTCCTAGTTTATTTCATTTTTTGTAAGTTATATGGCCCAAGAAATATGGCCTTAAAATGTTTACCTGAACGATAATGAAAAATGCCTGAATGACATCTTTACTGTCCCTGTCNGATAATGAAAAATGCCTGAATGACATCTTTACTGTCCCTGTCACCATCTCTGATCTGAAACCTGCACGGCTCTAGCAGATGCTGTTAAAGCTACTGCAGAAGTAAATGCAGCCTCATCTTCATTTGTACTAGAAGGCCACAGATTTGAGGACCAGCTTTGGAACTGAATTGAATCCCAGAAGCAATGTGAGGAACCAGCTCAAACTTCCCCCACTCAAGAGTCTTCAGAGATGTAGTGCTCAAAATAAAACATACCAAATATATATATATATATAATATACTTGCTGAAAGTATTTGTGGATCTACAATTATCACAAGGGCAGAAACATCAGGGCCTAATACACTCAGAGTCACTGAAAAGTACCCTCAACCTGTCTAAAGACATCAAGGCAACCACCACTGCTGGCACACACAGCCACATTCTCTGAAACAAGAACATTTGGCCTTCTCAACAAAAGGCAGCTCTGGTTTCCCAGGAAATCACCTCCCGCGCCTGTGTTGACAGATATCTAAGGTCTCTGATTTCCAATGTTATACAAGGTTGAGGAGGAGACCCTGCTGACTGTGCAATGGAAGCAAAACCACCTGCTTCATTTGGAGCACCATTCCTACACGATCAATGTCTTCTTCCTCTGGCTGGAGATTATTCAAATGGAGAGATGCAGGAAGATGAAAAGTTCCTCGTAAGTTCTTGCATGAGAGGATTGATAATATTCATGAAAAGCCTTCAGACGCAGCCTTTTAACTCTGATCTTAATGCAGCATCTTCAAATGTCTCCTATTTAAGGGACTAGATCTGACAGACAGAGCGCCTGATGAACTATGGACGGAGGTTCGTGACACTGTACAGGAAACAGGAATCAAGACCATTCCCAAGAAAATGAAGTGCAAAAAAGCAAAATGGCTGAGGAGGCCTTACAAATAGCTGTGAAAAGAAGAGAAGCAAAAAGCAAAGGAGAAAAGGAAAGATATACCCATTTGAATGCAGAGTTCCAAAGAATAGCAAGGAGAGATAAGAAAGCCTTCCTCAGTGATCAATGCAAAGAAATAGAGGGAAAAAATAGAATGGGAAAGACTAGAGACCTCTTCAAGAAAATTAGAGATACGAAGGGAACATTTCATGCCAAGATGGGCACAAAAAAGGACAGAAATAGTATGGACCTAACAGAAGCGGAAGATATTAAGAAGAGGTGGCAAGAATACACAGAAGAACTGTACAAAAAAGATCTTCATGATCCAGATAATCACGATGGTGTGATCACTCACCTAGAGCCAGACATCCTGGAATGTGAAGTCAAGTGGGCCTTAGAAAGCATCACTACAAA